TACCACTAGAGGTAATTAATTTAGCATATTGAGTGTTTTAAAACGGATTTTTAACATATTTGTGCATAATGCATCGATACACTATCAAAGTGCATCGATGAATCCCTTTGAATATGTATCGATACATCATGAAGATGCACCGATGCACTCCTTGAATGTGCATCGATGCACAAGGCCATGCATCGATGCATCCATCAGGTGTTTGGATGAAAACCCTATTTCTTCTTCATTTTCTCAAAACTCTCTTAAAACATTCTCACTGCCGTCGCTCCTCTCCATCTCTTCACTCTCAAAATTGCTCCAAATCCTTAGTTTTTGATCAGAAATCTTTCATTCTTCAACTCCTAATCATGCTTTCATCATCAAATCGTGCAAAACATCACATTCCTCTCAATCTGAAATTTTCAAGGTGATATTTCAAAACCTCTGTTTTATTGATTTTTTAACTTAGAACTAGTTTTGATTAGTTCTAGGATGAACATTATATCGAGCATTGATTATATTATGATTCTAAACTAGATTTTACAATCAATTTCGTCAAAAACAAACAATTTTTCAAAATTGTCTTTGAATTTTTGAAATAAAAAATGCTATTTTCAAAAATTATTGTTTTTGATTTAATTGTATTATTTTCATGAAAACTATATGAATTATGATATTTCTAAATGTTATTTTCAAATAGTTTTCAAACACTTTGCCCATTAGGATTCGATTTAGAGAACCTTGAACTATTGCGAACTCAATTGAGTTTTAGGATTGATTATTTTGCATACATGTGTTTCAAAATGGCAGGTTATATTCCTAATTCCGATTCTTTAAACCATGTCCAACCCAAAATGCCCTAGGTCCTCTTCGAGTTATTTTAACCATCCTCCTAGTCCTATTCCTCCTCAACCTCAAAATCCAAATCCGAATGACCAAAACATGACCATTATAAGTTCTTGTTTTAGTATGTCTGAGCATAGTAGAGAAGAACTCTACCATAGATACATGGACTCCTTACAATTTTACAAAATCCGGGAAGAACGTATTCCCTCTGTTCAAGAAATAGTAGATATCAACTTTCAATACCTACCGACTCTCAAGTCCTAGAAGTTTGATAAATTATTTCACCTTAAACCAATTGTCTATCATTAGTTAGCCCGCATTTTCTACTCTAATGCGGCATGTATTCAAAATGAGAGTCATTGTGGGACTATAGGAATTAGATCTTACCTTTTAGGACAATATTATCATATTGACTCTGAGTCTATCGCTAGGCAATTTGGGCTAGATGACAATGGTCTATACAATGAGAAAGAAATTGTGGCATATCCTTATCTTCCTAATGCTAGTGTTAGTACATTACGTACTCATCACGATCGTTTTCTACATTTAATGATCTCTTGGTGGTTTCGACCATCCGGAGGTAGGTACTCCATTCTTCGTGTCAGGGATTTATGGTGGATGTATTGCATCCAATATAATAGAAAGATAAATTTGCCACATATTATTTTTAATGAATTAGTAGATACCATAAATGTTGTCCCTTCTAAAAATGTCAAAAGTTTAGTTTATATGTGTCTACTTAGTAATAATTTTATCAAACTTGGCCTCAGAGTCTCTCTCGACAATCACATCCCTCTCCAAAACCAAATCAATCTCACCTTGTTGAAGAAAGCTGATTAAAAACATGAATAGGAAACTGGTCAATGGGTTTTTCGACCCAATAAGCAAACTCCGGGAGCCAGTTCTTCACGAGCTGCTCCTAGCTCTTCTCGTGCTCCTCCTCCTCCTCCGGCACCGGCTGCTGACAACGATCCCGAGCTTCAACAGCTTATGCAAGATATCGACGATCACGTACCAGACGATGAGCCTGCACCGGAACCAGCACCACAAAAGGATCAAGTGCCTCCATATTTCTGTTCGTTTTTTGAGACAATTGATCTACAGTTTGCTTCCATCGACTCCCATTTAACTACAAACAACGAAGCGGTGAATCATCGCTTAGACACTTTGGAAGCTCAACAAATGGAGTTTCAAAAGAAGATGCTTGTACGTATGGATGCTCTTACTCTTGAGATGCAAGCACGATTTCCTCCTCCTCCCAATCCTTCTATGGACGAGTAGACCTTGTTTTGTTTTTGTTTTGGATCAACTAAGAACTTTACTTGTTAAAACATTTTGAATGCTTTTGGATTGTTTTACTTTGATTGTTGGATGTTTGAATTTGTTTGGATTTATATTTTGGTTGCTTTGGATATTTGAACTTATTATATATATATATTTGGTTTGGTTTTCTTTTGGAGCTTAATGATTATTAATTGTTGCATCATTTACATATTAGTTGCATTATGACCAATTTTTACCATTTCACATTTTCTTATGAATATTGATGGGACTAATGGCTAATATCTCTTTTGATTGTGATCTTAGGAGCTTAATCTTTAAATTAATAAATCAATTGGCTAAGTTTTTCAAAACCTTGTTTAAAAAAGTTTAGAGTCTTTTTGATTTAACAAAAAGGGGGAGAAGTATTATAGGGAGAAGTGTTATAGTAAGGGGGAGTAATTTTTCAAAACTTGATTTCAAAATCTTAAAATTACTAAAATGTTTTGTTATATCAAAAAGGGGGAGATTGTTGAAAACATTTTGATGTTTCGATATAACAAATTAAGTATAAATGAATTTTAAGATTTTACAAATGATTTTCTTAGTATATTCGATTTAATTACTCGAATATCAAAATATTACTCCAAGTCTTTCAAAGATCAATTTCAATCCTTACTAAAGTGTAAAATTGTGTTTTAATCTTAAAATATTTTTAAAACAATTTTCACAAATTATTTCGAACAAAAAACGAGCCTAAAATCAATTTTTCAAAAGAGTGTACCGATGCACCAATCCATGCATCGATGCACCATTGAATAAATTGAACATCGAATGCATTTTATGCATCGATGCACAGACCATGCATCGATGCACTCGAGCTTGTTTGAAACATCGAATGCACTTCATGCATCTATGCACTCTTAGTGCACCGATGCACTAAGGGTCCAACGGTCGAAATATTTGAATTTTACACATAGTGTACCGATGCACTAGCCTTATGCATCGATGCACCAGACGTTCCCAACAGTTTTTATTAATTGTTTTCACACTTAAACGACTCTATTGACTCCACTAATCATCCCCAACGTTCAAAATCAATTGAAGGAGTATTTAAACAAGTTTAGAAGTCATTGATCAATAAAAAGAAATAATAAGAATCAAGAATTAAGAGAGAATCAAAGAGAAATCATCAAACCTCAAGTTTGAGCATTTCAAGCCTATTTTTCATTCAATATTCATTTTGTTTTCAAGAACACTACTTGTACTCAATTGTATTCATTTTTTAGTGTTCTTTTCTTTGTTCTAGAATTGTGCAAACACATTTACCTTGTGAGGTTTTTAATTAAGTTTGCGAATTTGTAATCTTCTCTTTGAGAAAGAGTGTTCTCAAGAATTGAGGTATATTCTTGAGGGAGTTGTAAGATTATCTCTTTGACCTCAAAAGAAAGAACAAATTAGTGAATTTGTTCGAAAATCCTTAGTGTGTATAGCTAAGGTAGTGGACGTAGACTTTGGTTAAGAAAGTCAAACCACTCTAAATCGCTGTGCAATTACTTTCAATTTTCTGCAAAAGCTTCCACCGAAATTTTAATTGCCAATGCACCCCCTCTTGGCCAATTCCATCGATCGATTAACTCAACATTACTCTTCATAAAGGTTCTAGGTTCGAGCAGTTGAGTTTGTAGGTTGTGTACGTTGTCAATGAATTAGAATTTTTTTGAACAAATACTATATTGTAATCTCTATAAACCAGCATAATAATAATAATAATAATAATAATAATAAGCATCATGCTGGCAATGTTGTGAACAGGACATACAACAACAGTGTTGAAGGCATATCCCCTAAAGAGACTCCAAGCTGACATTTTTATTGCAGGAATCTCTCGGTGGCAATGCAAAATTAGCAGTGGTCTGTGCAATTTCTCAAAGACAAAGGTAAGAATAAAACTCTCATATCCTATTTGGTTTAAAATCCCTCCTTTCCCTTGTCTAATAATCATCTAATTTTATATAAAATATTTGAAGTTAACATGTTTACAAAAGAAATTAATTTAATTTTTTATTATTATATTAATTTTAAGTTTTATAATTTATTTTTATTTTCGATCTTTTATTTTTTGATGAAACATATATTAAATTTAAATTTGAGAGATCAAAAAAGGGTGAATTAGAAATTTTGGTGTCCAACGGACGTTGAGGACAATAGTCAGTAGTGACAGATGACAAAAATCGATGGTGATCGATGATGGCAACCGATGGTGTTTGATAACGGTGATTAGAGGCGGCGACGTGGACTTTGATTGAATTCATGAGTTAAATTAATATTACATGAAATTTAAGGTTATATTAATATTTTATCTAAAATTCAAGATTCAAGTTAAAATCTATTATTTTTATTAATATGTCATGTGTCAGTAAAGTAACAAAATTAACGACTTAGTAAACAAAATAAAACATAATTGAAAATAAAAATAACCAAAGTTAAAAAAAATTAAAAATAGTGATCAAAATTGAACCCACTGAAAATATAAAAAATCGGCAAGGTTGTTTACCTTAGATTTATTGTTATTTCATTTTGGACTTAAATTTTAATATAAAAAACATAAATATGATGCATTTAAGTTTTTTTTCTTTGACCGTATAAAATTAAAATTGTGTAACTTATAGTATACCATACACATTTTATTTTGGAAAATAATAAATATTTGGGTTTTCTGCTGTATTTCAAATTGCGGCTACTCCAACCTTTCACTTAATACAAGCCACGTCACCAAACGGTTGACCAGAAGTCAAATGACAATAATCATAAGCTCCAATGAAAATTTGACGCGTAAGCACACAAAATTAAATTGATCGTAGAAGATCTCTTATTCCGCTTTTGCCCTGTCTACAGTCTGTAAATTGTCCCAAAAATATTTTCATTATGCTCTGGGTAATGCTTCGTTTCCACGAAGGCCATTAAAAAGAAGCTCTGAAATCTCAGATTTTCCTTTTCTTTTAAAAAATTTTCTTTCGTTTTCTCAGCTTCCAAACAGTCTTAGGTGGTGCGACTTTAAAGGGAGCCAAAGTTTAGCGGTATGTTTCAGGAACGAAGAAAACTTATTCCGTCCGATTAGTTTTCCTTCGTTTTCAATACAGGAAAACGAAAATTAACTTCCCTTTTTGTCTCTCAATTTTCTATATTTTGATTTCTTTTATTCGTTGTCTGAAGAAACAAACAGACAACGTCAAACTCAACTGTCTTTTTCAAATGTTTAGTTTATCCTGTCATTTTTATTTACTTTATTTTTCTTCAAATTCCAAGCCGCCAAACACAAGCTTATGAGATCTATAAGCCTAAAACGAACACAATTGCAATTCAAAGTCATAGAGAATAATAGAAAGATCCCAAATTTGGAAATAAAAAATTGGGATTTTTTTTCTACAATTAATGGTTTTAATCCACATTATTATGCTTACAGATTTTGATCTAACAAGCAAAAATTAGGCAGTAAAGAAAGGAGGGCCGAGTTAATTCAGTGAATCGAAGGGTAAAGTGATGATGTCAAGGCAAAAACTAGGCAACATCAACATGGAAAATTTACTCCCTGGCAAAATCAGGAAACGAGTGTGTTCACCATCGACATCATCTTCATCATCCGTTATCCAAAACTACAGATTCAAGAGAGCGATTACTGTAGGTAGCAAAAGGGGTGGATCCAGTACGCCTGTGCCTACGTGGAAGCTGATGATGAGATCCCCATTATCAGTTTCAAAGTTGAGAGCTGCTGAGTCTCCTAAATATGCCGGCTCACAAAGTGGGAGTAAAGTGAAAGGGCAAGGGCTGGGGCAGCAGCAGCCGGTTTCGGCGAGGAAACTGGCGGCGACGCTGTGGGAAATGAATGAGATACCGTCACCTATAAGAAAGGGAAGGAACGAGGAAAGGAGGAGGAAGGAAGGGAGAGAAAGGGGCACTGCCAGGTCCGTTCACTCGGGTTCTTTGCCTCCTCACTTGTCTGATCCTTCTCATAGCCCAGTTTCTGAGGTGGGTTTTTCTTTTCTTATCTTTTATAAAATGTATATATATTTTTTCAGAATTTTATTTACATTTTTTATATTAAGGAATGAGTATATAGTTTGGTATTGGTATGTTTGGTTTAGCATTTGGTCACTTTTGATTGAAGCTTTCTTGTGATCAAGACTCAAATTGCTGTTTTTATCTGCTTTTGGTGAATGCTTTTAGATCAGAAATATGTATTAGTAACAGTAATGTAGGATATAACTAGATATTCATTAAAACACTATGATTTTCTATCTATGTTTCTCAGACTTGGGTATGCGTGCCGGACACCATTATGTGTCCTACATGGTTTGTTCATTTTTCTCCAAGATTTCCATGTATTTGGAAGATCTTTGGAGGATCATCCCCATACCTACGTCCGGATATAACTCAGGAACTTCAAGAATAGTGAAGTTAGAGCAACATAGCTTTCTATTAAATATTGTAAGCTTGTAAGTTTAAACTAGCTTTGAGTGCTATTTCTAGATGATGCTTTTCTCAATGAGCTACTGATGTTTAGAATCACTGGTTTATGATTTTAGGATTTGATTTTGGGTCAGACTTTTCACATCACTGAATAGGTTGTGCTTTATTTTGTTTCCACCTTTGGTGTCTATGGTTGAAGTTTCCGAAAATGAGTAATGGGTCAGGTTGAATTACTTTAATGAGTACTGTTATGGTTAATGTTGAGGTTTGCTCAGTTGATAACCGATGTAGTATAGGTTTAAGTGTTTGTTCATATAAAGAATTGTGTTAGAAACTAACAATCACAGTATTTAGTTAGTTGCAATGTTGGTTTTCTTATGAAACAAAGTATGGAGATCATGATTTTAACTTGCTAATAAATTTATTATAAACTGATCAATGAATGCAATGGATGTTTTAGGCTTCCAGTAGCTGAGCCTCAAATATCTGTAGTCAAATTTTACCATTATTCCATTGTTACTTTGTTATTGATAACCAAAACTATTGATTTTATACATAATATCTTTGCTTGTATGAATGGTTACCATGTTCTTTTTTCAGAGAATGGATCGACCTGGAACTGCTAGTCATCGGAGAAGAGCATCATCTGTTTCTCAGAAGCCCAGGTTTATAGACCACAATGTTGGGGTGTTGGATTCTACTAGCAATGCCAGTTTGATGGAGGTAATCATTTTGGTTGTTGGAAAAAATGAAAAACATTTTTCTTCTTCTCTTGTATTTTGTTAGTAATGAATACAAGGTAGAATGAAACCTTTTGAACTTTGTGCCTTCAAGAGATGTGACTAAATGTACATAAAATTAAAGCCATATGTAAATGGAATCACAGATTATGGTATATATAATTGTTAGGGTTCGATAGTTAGGGTTGGAGGGGGATGCTCAATTCTCATCTCTTCATGTGAATATTCTCATATTTATAGCCTGTCAGTTTGCATTTCTTAGGAGAGAAAGAGAGACAAGAAAAGGTCATTGCCATTCTTTATGACTTTCACTCTGTTCTCAATTTTTTGTAACCTTTCTTTTCCCGGTAAGCTGCAGTGCACTTGGGTATTTGGTGAGTGAAAAGGAGTTTGACAATATTGATGTGTAATGCAGATTGAATCTAAATCTCATGCCCAAACTCCCAAGGGATCAACTGTTGGCACTAAGACTCGTTTGAAGGATATTAGTAATGCCTTGACGACATCCAAAGAACTACTGAAAATTATCAACCGCATGTGGGGTCATGAAGATCGCCCTTCATCAAGTATGCCCCTTATTGCTGCCTTACATTCTGAGTTAGAAAGGGCTCGTCTGCAAGTAAATCAACTCATACAAGAGCAGCGTTCGGACCAGCAGGAAATTAATTATTTGATGAAGTGCTTTGCTCAAGAAAAGGCAGCGTGGAAAAACAAAGAACAAAAAGTTGTCGAGGCTGCTATTGAGTCAGTTGCAGGGGAACTTGACGTGGAGAGAAAGCTTCGGATACGTTTTGAAAGTTTAAACAAGAAGCTCGGGAAAGAACTAGCTGAGACAAAGACATCTCTTCTGAAATCAGTGAAAGAACTCGAGAATGAGAAAAGGACGAGGGAGGTAATGGAGCAAGTATGTGATGAATTAGCCAGGGATATCAGTGAAGATAAAGCTGAAATGGAAGAGCTGAAGAGAGAGTCTGTGAAAGTTCATGAAGAGGTAGAAAAGGAAAGGGAGATAACACAGTTAGCTGATGTGGTGCGTGATCAGAGAGTTCGAACAAAGCTGTCAGGTGGCAAATATCATCTTGAGAAGAAAAATGCAGCTGTTGATAAACTGAGGAACCAACTTGAAGCTTTTCTAGGTAAAAAAAGAGTAAAAGAAACAGGGCGTCATTCTGTAAGTGAACCTAAAAGTGAGGATATTGCTGCCTATTTAAACAGAGCCCATTTTGGTTTCCATCCAAGTGAGGAAAATGATGACAATGGAGAAGTTGAAGATGGTGTAGAATGCGAAGAAGACTCAGCCGAAAGTGATCTTCATTCCATAGAAATAAATACGGACAACAATAGCAAGAACTACAAGTGGGCATATGCTCCTGCTGCTGTTCACGATTCAAGAGACCCTCTAATAAATGAAGCAAACATCACAGGTAGAAAGTCTACCTCCAGCAGATTACCAAAGAGAAGTACTTCACTACAAAGGAGCATATCAGATGGAGTTGAATGGGGCATGCAAAATGAAATGGTTCGGAATTTTGATAACGATTCAGAGGGGGGTAGATTTGCTGAACTGGAAAAGCAAGCTGAAGAAAAAGGTTATGGAGATGAAATGCATGGATATAAAGCTGTAAAAGGTCTTAGGGAACACCTTTTATCTGGTTCTAGAGCAAGTAGAGCTTATGCTAGTTCAACACGCGCTTCAAGAGATCTCGACAATGTAGCTCAAGAGAGGCCACCATTGGTGCCTGGTAGTGGTTTGCAGTCAAGGGTAGCAGAATTCAGAGGTGAAGCCAGTAATGATAGAAAATCAAGACGTTGAGAAACACAATTTTGTTGACTATGCTCTTCTAACTGTTCTCAGCCTCCTTTTGACTTGCCAATTGAATTCTGGAAGAGTGATCAAGCTTGTGTGATGCCCTGCTGTAACAGGATTTGGATGGAAACAAGTTTCACTTTTTTTTTGTTGGTTAGTGCTTTGTGTGATGCCTCTAGAGGGTGCTCAAATTGCAATGATCGCTGCTTGATATGTTGCACCTGTTTGTGGACCATGGTTAGGATTGTTTGTCTTTTGTAGAGCAATTTATTTTTCTTTTTCTTTTTTCAAGGAAACTGTTGTAATTGAACCAGTTTGATCTTGTACTATAACTTAAATGTAAAGTATGCTGGAAGTGTTGAAACTTTATCTGTCATCTTCTCCTCTTCTTAGCCTTAATGTCATTTGAAGTTTTTGAATGAACTGATAATAAGCTGACGTAGTAGAGATTAAGGATGGCACCATTAATGGAGTTGTTGGAGCCTTGTTGGTGATTCATTCATTTTGTAGCAGTCCAATAACCGACCAAGATTCAAGAAGTCATGAAGCTTGATCGATCCATGTCCAATTCAGAAAAATCGCTTCAACGGTCCAAAAAACCCAAGGCAATGGGCTGCAACCCTTGCTCAAGATGTAAGACAACTACTCCTAGTCTTTGGATACCCAAAGACATGGACGCTTATACTTCAGCCCACTTCGTTTACAAGCCCAACATCTTCGACGCTTACTCTTCACTGCAGGATATTCTCGAACCTCCTTAAGAGTCGGTTTGGTAATGCTTTTAGGAAGTGTGGTGGAAAAATAATTTTTAAAATTGATTATGGAAAGTGATTTTGGGTTGTTTGTAATACTCCGAATTCTGGATTAATAATTTTGAGTTGACACAAGAAGTATGTGGGCCACATGGAATTCGTAATAGAAGTTGTTGAATCAAACGAAGACTTAATTAGATGTTAATTGGACTTGATTGGCCATAAAAATAGTAATTTTGCATAGAAGACAAAATATAAAGGACCTAAAATGTAATTAGACCCTTGTTGATAACAAGACTGATTCTATTGGGATTTCTAGGTAAGGGTGACGTGGGGGCTTGAACCAAAAGCTGGTGGCTTTATTGTTTTTCATTTTTCCATCTCCTTTCATTCTCCTCTCATTCTCCTTTCATCCTCCTCAAGCTCTATAAGTCAAAGATAAGTCATTTGAGCATATTTAAGCTTTATTTAAGACTTAAAATCCGTCCATAAATCTTCCAGCAACTGGGTTTTGGATTAAAGACTTTTATTTTTTCTTGGTTAGAAAAAGTGGGTTTTGGATTAAAGACTTTTATTTCTTCTTGGTTAGAAAAAGTGGGTTTTGAGTGCTCAAGTTCAAGTGAAAGGAGAGAGAACAAGTGTATAAGCAAAAGGAGGTTCATTTCGGTTTCTAACACCAACGTAGTATATTTCTAATCTTTTGTGGTGTTATGGCTATATTAAATGTGATGCTTTGTTAGGGATTGAGTATTTGAGCATATTGGGGTTTTTTTTTTGCTTGATTTATGATTAAATGGCGTTTTTAGTTTAAAGATGATGTTTTTATAATGCTATATGACCTTAAATAACTTCCTTAAGCTTTAAAAGTTGGTTTGAGACCAAACTAGAATGTTTGAAAGGATTTTTTAGTGTTTTTGAGCTTAAATAAGATATTTATGGGTTTGAGTACCGATATTGGATTACCAGTATCAATGTTGAATGAACTGGGGCTGATTTTTGGGCATTTTATAAAGGGAGTACCGATACTCTAAGAAGTAGCATCGATACTGCACCCCTAGTATCAACGATACTAAGGGTGTCAATATTAATACTGGGAGGATGTTTGGCATTTAGAAGCTATTTTTGGTACCGATACTCAAGTGAGTATTGATACTTGACTATAGAGTATCACTACTATTTGTAGAGTATCGATACTACCTGTTTTAGATGATTAAATTTGACTTCGTTAAGGCTCGTAAGAGTTAGGGATGACCCGTAATGGTGAGACTTAGTTTGTAAGATATTTAAATGGCTAAAAGTGCCTAGAAACTCTCTTAGGAATATGTTATGACCGAAGTAACCTTAATGGGGTAATATTTCTAAGTATCCTTATTCGAGCATGTATTGAGTAATTGAGAATAAAGGATCGTTGCGGAGGATGTACCTGAAAGCGATATGATGAACTAAGTGAATTACGTAAGAAAAGAACTGTGTACTGCACGAACATCGATAAATCAAATACGAGCAAGTTGTCTCTCTGATTTAAAGGTGAATTGAAGATCAGTGTGAGGAGAACGACTAGGGAGTCGCTAACGAATAATCAACCCCGAGTCGAGTATCAAACTAGCAAATAACATACCAAATGGGTAACTTTAATATTTATTGTCATAAGAGCATAAAACACAAAAACTTTCCTTAGAGGTAAAAATGACTAAAATGCCCTTCGATGTTAAATGACGAGGATAGTGTAGCCTAACGAACTAATAGATGTAAAAGACTAATAAACCCTTATAGAACGTTCTAGATGAGAGAACGAGTGAGACCGTAGTGAATGAGAGGATGACCTCACTAGAGTGTGATGAATTGAGCCAATGTAACTGAACAACCTTAGTTGCCCTGATGTGACATTGATTGTTGTGTGTGGCCTTATGGTACCCATGTATGCATGTGTGATTGCAGTGGTATTGTATAGAGGATATCTTTAATGTTTTCCTTGACGGTTGTGTGAGACCAAACTAATGCTAAGTTTGAGCGAGAATTTTACGGAGGCTTATGTGAGATCGAGTTCTCCTTCATGTACTACTTGAAGGCTTTGTGTGGACTATAAGATCATTTAACAGGTTGGTGAGAACCGGGGCTTATGTGACATTGAGTTCCCCCAATAGTAACTAGTATATAATGATTGTGTGAGACCAGATATTATCATTGTGTTGTGTGTTGCATTTATAGAATACAAAATAGTTCGTTATTGTGCTTAGAGACTCAATATACGTATACTCATGGCAATACCCTTAATAGATGACTAAGGGAAGCGTGTGACTCTTACTATAGTGATAGAATAGTTGAACCTTAAGTAGGTAACACTTGATAATGGTCATACATATACCTATTGCTAATTATCATGTCTTCTAGCATTCTTATATTTATGAGACTAATAATGCTACTCTAGATTAGCGATTATATTGTTGAGCTTTGTAAGGCCAGCATCCGAATGTTTCTATTTGTAGGTTAGTAGTTGAGTCATTCAAAGAGCACCATCGCAGTAGGATTTCCAGCATCTCTTCCAGAGTATTGTATTGTTACTTTTAGTGGACCCTTATGTATTTGGATTTGCAAACTTTGAGTTGTATTATTTTATTTAAACTATGTATTACGGAGCTCCGGTTGTAAAAGTATTTTTCAACGGTTACGTATGTCTATGTAACATCCTCAATATCGGGTTAGTGACTAAATTGGAAAGTTTCAGATTTTGGTGATTAAAATAGAATGAATTAATAGTATAAAGATTTATATGTAAATGATTGTGTAGGATTGAATTGAAAGGAAGAAGGAATGGAAGGGCAAAAGAGTCATTTGCAAGGAAAATTAATTAAAGAAGGGATAATGATATATATGAGTACAAGTGGAATGAAAAGAAGAGAACACCAAAGCCTTCCAGAGTTATCTTCTTCTTCTTTCTTCCTTGTACGTGTGAACCAAAGCAAAGGTAAGATTTCTGATTATTGAGTTTCTTGTTAAATTTAATATTGGGTTTTGATTATTAGATGATAACTAAGCTTAAGGAAAGCTTAAGTTATCTTAACATCAAAGGATGATTGAGTTAGGAGAGATTTAAGATTTGAAGTTCTTAAATGAAATCTTGGAATAGAGTTCATAACTAGAATTGAAAGTTAAATTTGACTTGTCATCAATCTAGTAAGATATACGAAGTGTTAAAAACATAATTCAAACATGTTTGATTTATTAATGTAATTCTTGAATTTCATATGAAGGAGGATTTGAAGGTTTAAGATGAAATAAATAAGTATAAATTGGTTAAAGGATGTGTACTAGAGTTAAGAATGAAAAAGGGGATTAAACATGAAAGATTTAATCCAAATGAATGAACTTTCAGGTTCAAAAAGAGGATTCTGGGCAGAGTGCACCGATGCACATTCATAGTGCATCGATACATCATGGTTAAAACCCAGAAATTGTATGAATATGCATCGATGCATTGGTAGTGCATCGATGCACTCTTTTAAAATAAAGACATCGAATGTAATTCGTGCATCGATGCATAAGTAGTGCATCGATGCATCCCATTAATAGTAAAACATCGAATGCAATTGGTGCATCGATGCATAAGGAGTGCATCGATGCATCCCAGCAATAATACTACATCGAATACCTTTTATGCACCGATGCATCAGTAGTGCATCGATGCATACCTTCATTAAAAGATGAAGTTGACTTTTCTCTTACTCTAAAGAGTGAACCATTAGAGTATATTAGTTATAATACTGATATAGATCCATGTGTGTTTATGTAGATACTAAAAGTAAGCTTATTCCGGAACGATCAAAGGATTAGAATCGAATCAAAACAAAGCTAAGGTAAGTGCATACTATATGTATATTATAACGGAATAAGACTTGTGATAAGTCTAATCCATGTGTTGATTTTTATAATATAATAGTTGTGAACATGCATACATGATAATTGTTGTGATACATGCATAAGACATATATATGTTCATGTGATATGATATGTGATATGACATGTGATATGAGAACATGATATGAAGTGACATGAGCTACATGATCACAAGAGAAATGACATGAGCTACATGATCACAAGAGAAATGACATGAGTACATGAACGAAAAATAAGAATAATGCCCATAGTATACGATATGAGAACTATAGGTGTAATTAGCATGCCAAGAGTCGAGGGTTCTACGTGGTCCTTCGGGACATATATATAATTATGTGGAACCTATATATGGTACTTCGGTACACTGATTGGAGCCATTATATTATGTATGTGGTTCTTAAGGAGAAGTCCTTCGGGACGTAGTCCTTCGGGACGTAGTCCTTCGGGATGTAGGAGTCCTACGGGACGAATACTGAACTAAGGTTCGGTGCCCCATGAGGGAATAGATACTAGCTGTGGTGACAGTATTAGTGCACAACCTTAATGCACTCACATACCTCTAATCTCAATAAGATACATGGGCTATGCAATTGAAATACCGATTTACAGTGAAAGTGATACAAGAAGGTAAGTTTCGTATGTGCATTATATGTTATCGTGCGATAGGTACTTCCATATTGAAATGTCATGATCCAATTGTAAGTATGAACATTCATAAGTTTATTGTTGCATATTCATTT